TGCAGGCCAGAAGGGAGTGGCAAGAAATATTCAGAGTGATGAAAACCAAGATCCTACAACCAAGATTACTCTATCCTGCAAAGCTGACATTTTGAATCGATGGCATATAAAGACTTTTCCAGACAAGAAAAAGTTAAAGGAGTTTATCACCACCAAACCTTTATTATATGAAATGATGAAGGGTCTTTTTGAAGAAAAAGATAAAATGTATGAACAAACAAAATGGCAATGAATACATATCTATCGACAATGGAATCTATGAACAAAATGAACAGGCAGAACAGAAACATTCTCATAGATAGAGAACATTTTGTTGGTTGCCAGATGGGAGGAGGGTTGGGGAATGGGTGAAAAAGGTGAAGGGATTAAGAAGTACAAATTCATTGCTAGACTGACAAACCTCAAAGGGAAAGGGGTTGGATGGTGGGAAGAAATAAACAGAAGAACTTATATGCATAACCAATGGACACAGACAATAGTGTGGGAAAAGGTGGGAGGGGGCGGGTGTGGGGAGGAGGGGGTCAATGGGGGAAAAATGTGGAACATCTGTAATACATTTTACATCCAACAATAAAGATTTGAAAAAAAAAAAAAGGCTGTGGTACACATACACAATGGAGTACTATGCAGCTGTAAGAAAGATCTCTTATCCTTTGAGACGACATGAAGGGACCTGAAAAGTATTATCCTAAGAGAAACAAGCCAAGCAGAAAAAGACAAATACCACATGATCTCACTTATTTGTGGAATATAATGAACATAACAGTCTGAGGAACTGGGTAGTCCCAGAGACGTGGAAGTAGGGTACAGACTGACAATACCCAAAAGAGGGGTTGGGGGGAGAGATAAACCACAGAACTTATATGCATGTATGTATGAACAATGGACATGGACAACAAAGCCAGGGATGGGGCGGGGTGATGGGGGAGGAGGGTGTCAATGGGGTAAAAAAGGAGAAACATCTGTAACAAAAATAAATTTTTTTTAAAAAAAGAACTTCCTTGATTTGCAATATACCAAACAAAACTATGAGAATTGACCCACACAGGGGGAGCCTACCCATATTGTGTTCTCCATCTCGCTTTGCAACGTCCCTGTTCTGTGTTCACTGCTCCAGACTTCCACGTGTGAGCAGGTGACAGTAGGGCACTATAGCTCTGCTCCATCTGCCACCAGATCCACCCACACAGCACTCCAGGCCCCCTGAGTCCCACAGGGCTGCTCTGTCCAATGCAGAGCAGGGGCAGCCAGCATAGTGGTTTGGGGAGCCCATCAAAGTCAGGGCCTTGGAGTTGGTCTTCCAGGCCCTCTGTGGACCAGCAGTGCCTGTCTGTCCCCAGTAAGCAGGAACATTCTAGAAGCAGAGCCTTGAGAAGGGCCCTGGGGAGTAGGGCTGGGCAGGTGCACCTTCCATGAGTGCTGGGGGCAGGGTGTGTGCCCCATAGGAACTTTCCTGTGTCACAGGGGCTGTTTCTGAACCTGGGGGGGTGGGGGGTGACCTGTCACCGCCTGCATGGCCTCTTCCTCAAAATATTGCTTCTTTTGACAAATCAGAGAAAGGAAGTGGGCGGGGCCGGCAGCCAGAGGCTCAGACAGGAAGCCCTTGCGGGGACACAGCACACCCTGCCCTCGCGGGTCCTGGGTCGTTTGCAGCAGTTTCCTTCCAGCCCAGGACCTGTTCCTGTGCCCAGAGTGTGGGGCGCGGGGCGCGGAACTCCCCTTTCTTCTTCATGCCCAGGAGCCGTCTAGGAACCGTCGGCCTCCAGGGGGTGCCGTGTAACTGCCTCTGCCCGGCTTCCTCCGCGCCCACTGCGCGCACCTTCCCGGGGCCGCCCAGACCTTCCCGGTCCGCCCAGCACCTTCCCGAGCCGCCCAGCACCTTCCCGGGGGCGCCCAGCACCTTCCCGGGGCCGCCCAGCACCTTCCCGGGACCGCCCAGACCTTCCCGAGCCGCCCAGCGCCGCGCCAGGTAAGGGGACACCGGGCAGGGTCTGGGCGCCCTGGGAGGCTGCGATCCGCAGCCTAGTCACCCCACGGATTGCTGGTGTGATCACACAGGTTACCCTACTTCTAAGCTCGTCCGTCGGGGAGACGGGACTATGTGAGTGGCGTAGGGGCCACAGCGGTCGGTAGTGGGGAACAGGACTGCATGACAGTCGCCCTGAGCCCTCAGCGCAGAGCTCCGGGCTTTCCTGCTGGCTGCCTACAGCTTAGCCCCTGGGTCCTCATGGGCACTCACAGGGCTTCAGGAAGCTGGAGGAGTTTGCTCATCCCGCTGGACAGATGGGAAAACGGACCCCCCAGGTGCCCGGCTAGGTGCGGGCATGGTTCTCCGTTTACCCTCTTAAGTCTTACCCCCACCCACAGTGAGCCACCCCTTCCACAGGAGACCCGGAGTCCACGTTGTCTCCTGGCCGGACCTTCTGGAAAACACCCCTTAATCCCCCAAACACCCCACACCTTTCCCCTGACACATGTAGACGCAGCTGTATGGCAAACAGACGCATGTTCAGGGCAGGACAACAACCCCTCTGTCGGCTAAACCTTATGTGAGAGACTGTTTGAAATGACAAGAACTAAACTACACACGGGACAGGGTACAGGAAACATGGGGACCGTGCAGAGGAGGGAAGGAGACACTGCTGAGCGTGAGGGAGCTGCTTTCTGTGGTTTGTTCACACAAGGTGTGGTCACAGGACAATCAGGCTCCTGTCATTTCAAATCCAAAGGTCCATTCCGTTCATGTCCTCAGTCCCTGCCTGAACCGGCCCCTCCTACTGTGCCGGCGACGCTGCTGTAACCGCTGCTTGCACACTGCCTGCCCCTCTCCTGGGACCTGGCCCCACGTTGGAGGAGGTTACTAGAAGTTTCCTTTCAGAGAAGGACCCGGCCTCCCTCCGGACCCTGCACTGTGGCTGCTCCCAGACCGAGGTGCCCCGCGTCCCTGCGGGTCTGCGATGCTGCCCGTCTTTTCCTGGCTTCCTTCAGTCTCTTCGTGCTTGTCTGTGACTCATTTCAGCGTCTCCATCAGTACCCTTTCTGACTCTCCAGGACACTTTTATTTGTTAATATCTGCCTAAAAGACCATTCTCTGTGGGACACAGGTCACCTCCGCCGCCTGACATTCAGAAGACGGTCCAGGAGAACCACTGCACTGCATGTGCCCTCATGTAACCAGGTTGGGTGGGCTTTCTGTGACAGCACTCTCCATGCGGGTCCCACTGATCACCTGGCCAGTGAAACACCAGATGGAGTCACACTGAAGGGCTCTGGTCGAGCATCTGCTGCCCCCTGCCGGTCTCTCCTGGAATAATCTGTTCTTGGAGTAACAGGCTCCCAGATTTTGCCTGGGTTGGTTTCAGGGCAGGCTTCCTGCCTGTCAGCCTCAGCCTATGTCCTGACCATGGGATGTCCACACTGTGTGTGGGCCCAAGAGGCTGTGGACTTATTTGGAATAATCTCCTTTCCTCCTGTGGCATCAAGGACGACACGCAGGGAAAGGAGCCCCTTTTTGGTCCTAGCACCATAGCACTTGTGTGACTGTGGGCGGGTCATTTGCTGCTCAGTTTCCTAATGTTTTAATCAACATTTTAAGACATGTCTTAATTTATGAGAACAATTAAGACGATGGAGATGACAGGACTTAGAAAGTTATAAGTGGCCACACAGAGGATTTTTACACCAATGAAGTTCACCATCAACTTCCTTGTCTTTGCCACATCAGAAGATTAATTCCAGCATATTTTCTGAGATTTCCAAACCTCAGGAAAACTCATCTAAAGAAGAAAAGTTATCAGAGAATTAGAGCGTGTTTACCAAGGGCCAGAGTATAACCCCCCACAGTCAAGGGCAGCTGTGGGGGAGGGCGGAGAGCAAAGGAAGGGAGGGAGGGCTGGGAGGGAGGGAAGGAAGAAGAAAGGAGGAAAAGAAGGAAGGAAGGTCTCAGTATATTCTGATCATGTGAAAGTGGATGGTTTTCCTGAGGAGGGCCGATTTCTGTTTCAGTCGGCTGGGATGGGTGATTACTGGGAGACGGACCTAGAGCCAGCCAGAAGAAACATTTGAGTCAACACGGAGCAGGAAGTGACTTTCTCTTGAATTTGTCCTGAGTGTTGATTCTTTCTCTTTGGCCAGGGCGCCTCCTTCTCTCCACCAACTGCTCGGGGGGCCAGCAACAAACTTAGTAGAGCAGAGTGAAAAAGTCCCTTGCTGTAAGTGGCATTGGCTGTTTGAAGTACTGAGCCTCTCCAGTCCCCAAGAGTCTTTGTGTCCCATGGACATCCCAGTGGCCAGAGGAGGGTGGGATCCGGGACATGTATTCTTCAAGGACTGACCTGAGAAGCACTTTTTCCAGCAAGTTGTTGTACTTGATTCCAAAATTAAAATGTTCCACTCCTCATTCCATAAAAGGATGCTTTCTTCATTTTATACCTTTTCCAGTTGGAGGGACATAAACAAATGATTTGTTTTAAAATATCTCTATGCCATGCCTGTGTAGCTCAGTGGTTGAGCATCGACCCATGCACCAAGAGATCGCTGGTTCGATTTCCAGTCAGGACACATGCCCAGCTTGTGGTCCCAATCCCCAGTGTGGGGCATGCAGGAGGCAGCCAGTCGATGTTCTCTCTCATCGATGTTTCTATCTCTCCCTCTCCTTTCCCCTCTCTCTAAAATCTATAAAGAAAAAATATTTTTTTAAACATTTCTTGCTTTCCTGTAAGGTGAGAAAAATAAAGTAACCGTGCACTGTGTTAGCACAGCCTGGTTTGCCTCAAGCTATTTATTGGCCTTTGCAAGTATCACGTGAGTGCGCACATTAGCAGTGAAAATGGCTCCTCCGTGGAGAGTGGGGGCTTATTCGGCCTCTGAACTGGAGGTGCCCTCAGGCCTTACCAACTCCCAGTGGACACTGGCTTCTTATTCTTTTCCTGTTTCTCTTCCAGAAGAGAATGGAAGGACTTCCAAAGACCAGATATGGGTCTATGGCTGAAGGTAAGACAGCCTCCAAGTCCTCTAGAGGCACCGGCCCCTCCCCTCACACAGGGACAGAAGCAGTGGCTTTAAACTGAAGAAGAGAAGACAGTGCTCACTTGTTCGTTCCCTGCCCCGACATCATCTCAGCCTCACCAGACCCCACAGCACGATGCTGTCCATGCACACGGTGTGGGAGATGTGCAAATGAAACCAAGTCCGAAGTGGGAGGAGTTTGAACTGAATTAGGAATAAATTTTCTCTTTCCTTGTTCGCTCTCAGCTGAAATGTGGAAAAGTTCCCCAGAGAGATTTAGTAATCATGTTTGCTATGGAATATTCCCGGACATTGCAGAAAAGGGAGAACCAACACAGAGTAGAGAAATGAAGTAATAGATTTTAGGAGCCGGCAATGAACTTGGAATCCATTTGGGCAACGAGAACTCCAGAACTCCTCGGCTCTCTCCTTCCTTCATCCCTCGAAGGTCTTAGCTCTTGGCTCAGGGTCGCCCTCCCCATCACCACAGTTGTTACCTTCCTGTAAGTCAATCGGACAAGTGGGTGATCTTTCCACCACCTGCACTTTCATTGGTCTGACACTCCAGTCCTCTTCAGCCACCTCTCCAGCTAATCTCTGGGACTTTGCTCTTGACATTAACTGTGACCTTTCTGTCTTCTCGATTTCAAGCATCCAACTCCCCACCCAAAGATCAGACCCAGGGACCCTCAGCTGGTCCTTGGTGAGAGGTCCCAGCTGAGACTCCCTCTCCTCCCAAGGTTTAAAAGAAGCTGTTGGGCACCTCTGTACAAGTGTGCCTGGTAATTTGTGGGTGATAAAGGGGGTAAGATTTTTTAATTTGTGACGTCTCATCCTCTGCCTCCTTCTAATGACACATTTATTCAGCATAAAACTGGCCCAGGCACCATCCCTGGAAACACAAAGGAGCCGCTTTTCTTTCAGAAAAACTATGTCTTCCCTGGTGTCCAGGAAGGGCCTGGAACATCCTCCTCAGTGGGGCAGTTCCTACAGTGGACTATGGGTCCAGAGTGGGCTTCCTGTGGACTTCCTATGACCCAAGACCTCCTAAGTTGTCGGTGAACTTTGTATGTATTAGATAGGACTGTTGGGAGGAAAGTCCGTGGCTTTCATGAGATACCATGAGGGTCCAGGACCGAGAAATCTGAAGCCTCACTGACTTAATAAGAAACATTTATCTTACAGACATGGCAGAAGATAACCGGTTTGCACCATCTTCCTCCCTGAGGCTCGTCCTGGTGGGCACATCCGGCTGCGGGAAAAGTGCCACCGGGAACAGCATCCTCTGCCAGCCCGTGTTTGAGTCCAAGCTGGCGGCCCAGGCTGTGACCAGGAAGTGCCAGACAGCCACAAGCACGTGGAATGGGAGGAGCATCCTGGTGGTGGACACGCCCCCCATCTTTGCGGCAAAGGCCCAGGGCCAAGAGATGTACGAGGACATCGGGGACTGCTACCTGCTCTCCACCCCGGGGCCCCACGTGCTGCTGCTGGTGACGCAGCTGGGCCGGTTCACTGCCCGGGACACGGAGGCAGTGAGGAGGGTGAAGGAGGTCTTTGGGGCAGGAGCCATGAGACACGTGGTGGTCGTCTTCACCCACAAGGAGGACTTAGGGGACGAGTCCTTGGATGAGTACGTGCGCAGCACAGACAACTGCAGCCTGCAGAGCCTGATCCGGGAGTGTGGGCGGAGGTACTGCGGCTTCAACAACCGGGCCACCGGGGAGGAGCAGAGGGAGCAGCTGGAGGCCCTGATGGCGGTGGTCGAGAGGCTGGAGAGGGAGCACGAGGGCGCCTTCTGGAGAAACGACCTCTACTTCGAAGCCCAGATGCTGCAGGGGCGCGAGCTCCGCGGGGAGGAGCACAGGCGCTACCTGGCCAAGGTGCGAGCGCACGTGGAGGGGCAGAAGCGAGACCTGAAGGAGACCGAGTGTCACTGGGTGTCCAGGGCGCTCCTCAGAGTCAAAAAGTGGATGATTTCTAACACTGGGCTATCCATTTTTCTTGTGATATGCATTTTGATTTTTCTTGCTGTTTTAATTAACTTGTTTATTACTCAGGGATACTGAGCATTTTCAGCTGACATCCATAATCGGCTTCTTTTTTCCAGACTCACCCTCTCTGTGTATGTTTCTAAGAGACTTAATTGCGTTTTACTTAGATCTGGTTTTCATTTCTCTTCCTCGCATCAGACATGCCATTTCTGTTCTCCACCTGCTTCCAGATAAATAAAATCCAAAGAAAGAATATTTCTTTTGTTGTTGTTGTTTAAAAATCATGGAGGTAAATGATAACCTAACTGTATTCCATCCTGAAATCTTTGGGGGGACCAGTGTTTGCAGGAAGGAAGGTGAGTGGACTGTGATATTACCCATTGAGGGGAGAAACATGTTATATTAAACGCTGGTAGGAGAATTCCTTATTTTATTCAGAGAGGAACTGTGATTTTATGGTGGGTTGTAAAAGACAATACCCACCCCCATCCTCACCCTACAGAGGTTGATGAGGATGTTGGGGGGGTATTCTGGAGGCATGATGGGGCTGGGGAGGAAGGTGGGAGGGAACATGGACTTGGGGGGGATCCGGGCACAGAGGTGAGATGGGGTGCCATCTTGGGGAAACCTCCGTCAGTGGCTGGGAAATAAAGGACCTGGGGTTTCATAGAGCAGGGCCAGAGAGGGAATACTTTAGCTCAGCAGCCTGCAGGAGCTCAGTCACTTGCAGAGGAGAGAGTTCCCGGACGAGACCGACGTGATGTCCGAGGCTGCATTCCCATAAAACTTGGCGGACACTGAAATCTGAATTTCCTGTAACTGTCGTATGTGGCGATGAAACATTCCTCGTTTGATTTCTTCAACCTTCTAGAACGGTGAAAGCTCTCCCTTCTGAGCCCGCAGGCTGTACAAAGTGGCGGCAGGCCAGATGTGGTCCCACCCCGTGTGCCGTGAATGTCCCCTTGTTGGTGGAGCCCAGGGGTAAGGCCACCTCTTTAGCCTCAAAATCAGCACAACACTGCCTGATGGCTGGGAACTCGCGCAGGAGTGGTATTCCACACGTCCACGGTAGCAGAGGGAAGAGGCCAGACTCTGGGGTGACCTCCCAAGCAGAGGTCATGAAGTCAGTGGAATGGGAATTCCGGGGGCAGGGAGGGGAGGCCTCCCCCCTCTTTTGGCAGCTGTTTTCTCCGCCCATTTGTACCCTGTACGGGAGACCTGCAGTTTTCCAGGGCAGCCTGTGAGCAGATGGGTAAGTGATTGATTCTGAGATGAGTCTGAGGAACTCATTGTGCCTTTCAGGTACCCTTCCGCCAACCTCCATTGGTAACAGAGGTGCCACCCCGATCTGAGCAGTCGCAGCAGGCCGCCGACTCCAAACACCCGCAGGGAGAGTCATGTACAAGCCCCTCAGACCCTGCTCCCCCAAAGGAACCGAGTCCTCTGCAACGCACTGCCCCAAGTGTCCCACCTACCCAGGTCTCCCCCTTCCCAGACTTAGTTCAGTCCAGCTGCCCAGACATTTATTACACGGATACTGAGCGCCGGCTCCTCTGCTCAGCACCAGGAATATAAGAGAAATAATGCAAGGTCCCTGCTCCCCAAAGTGACTGTATGAGCGGCGGGCGGAGGCATCGGAAATGGGATGCGAGAGGAATGATTTGGAGGTTGCGGCGTCAGCCAACCGGAGAGTGCTGGGCTCAGGAGGCCCCCAGGCCGGCGGTGCTGGTGCTGCTGGGCACCCGCTGGCCTCTCCAAGTCTCTTCAGGCCGAGGGAGGCCAGGGACAGGGGCCGCTTTGAGACAGGGGCTGGGCCAGTCTGAGGACTGTCTCCAAGAGAACAGAAAGTCACTGGATGTCATGAGTAGGTCAGAGCTGATGCGCGGTTTTAGGAAGAGCACGGGGCAGCAGTGTGGTGGCTGAACCGCGTGCGTGTAAACCTCGGGGACAGCAGGACATTCAGAAGGAAAGAATCCATCTCAGGGATCAGGGACTGAGCCCTAACCAAATGAATGAGGACACAAATGGGAGATGCCGAGGAGGTGGAATCAATAAAACATGGTCACTGATGGCAATACTGGGAAGGGGACCAGTTTCTATCTTGGGCCACCCCTAACATTTGCTCCCTTCACACCCTGGGCCCTCAGGGGTGCAGCAGGTGAGCAGAGGCGGGTAAGGACTCTGGGTTGGAATGTACGCCCTCTGGAACATCATCCTGTCCTCCAGGGAACAGGGGTGAGCTTACCCTCCCTCCAGGGAAGGCATAGGACCGCATAAACTTGGCTCAAGAAAGGCTAGCAAGCAGGGCTGCAGGAGGCTAGCTCCACCCAGGGGTGCAGAAGGGCCCGGCCTCCCAGCCTGGTTCAGTGCACCAACGAGGCATGTCTTTCACCATGAACAGTGTCACCCGCTCAGCCAGATGACATTCCACCTTCGTGGATTTCCAGGGGGAGTCAAGCCAGAGAGTTACCCGTCCTGTTTCACAGTAGAGATGGAGAAAAAGTGTTCTTAACCCTTTACTCTCACGTGAATGTTCGCCCAAGTAATTCCTTGGAAAGTGTTCAAACGTGAGCTCAGGCCGAGCGTAAAGGGGGCACAGACACCCGCCTGGAGGTGGTCACCTTCCTCCACCCTCCGCTGTCTTCAGGAGTCAGTGACTGTCCAGTGTGTAGCAGGGGGAGGACGGTCCTTCCTAATTCTCCGAATGGGAAGACAAAAATCATTTATTCTCGCTGCCACGTCCTCAGGGAAGTTCTGAATGAGTTAAGGACCTTTTTTTTTTTTTTTAATTTTTTTTTTTGTTGTTACAGATGTTTCTCCTTTTTTTCCCCATTGACACCCTCCTCCCCATCCCCCCCACCCCATCCCTGGCTTTGTTGTCCATGTCCATTGATTATGCGTACATGCATATAAGTTCTGTGGCTTATCTCTTTTCTCCCCCCACCACCTCCTCTTCTGAGGGTTGTCAGTCTGTACCCTACTTCCACGTCTCTGGGTCTACCCTGTTCCTCAGACTGTTATGCTTATTATATTGCACAAATAAGTGAGATCATGTAGTATTTGTCTTTTTCTGTTTGGCTTGTTTTGCTTAGGATAATACTTTCCAGGTCCCTTCATGTCATCTCAAAGGATAAGAGATCTTTCCTTCTTACAGCTGCATAGTACTCCACTGTGTATATGTACCACAGCTTTTTTATTCATTTGTCTACTGATGGACATTTGGGCCATGCCAGTTCAAATGTTTTCAAATGCAGTGCAAAGAGACCTCCAACTCAAGTCACTTAAACAGTGAGCAGATTTACTGGCTGAAGTCAAGGGATGGGGTAAGCTTCAGGGCTGGTGGAGTCTGAAAGGGTTAGTGATGTTTTAAAGGGTAAAGATAAAAGTTTGCAAAGGGTGGAAACTGGAAATTGTGTTGCTTGCATGACCTTTGCTCAGCCTTCTGTTGAGTATGGATAAGGATTATCTGGATTGTCCACAAGGCAATGGATAACCCAGCAGATGCCAGACGAGATACCAGAGCAGTCCACCTGCAAAGTGGACCATGGGCCAGACAAAGTACATCAGCAGGAACTGCCAGAAGCTAAAAGTAGAGTAATATAACTTGACACCCCAACCCTGATTCAAGGCTGAACCCTTCTTGGCTCAGCCCACCTGCACCCAGGTGCATGCAATAAAGGCATTTTGCTCTACATTGGTCTTACGTTATGGATGTGATCTCCCACCAGCTCAGACCTTTTATTTGGTGCTGAAACCCGGGAAGTCTGTGAGGATCCCGCATAGGGGGCAACCATGGGCCCCCAGAGTCTTTCGGGCCTCCTGTCGGACCTGGATCAATCACACCCTCAGCCGGATACTGGATCTCCAACCTTTCCTGCTGATCCAGCATCAACACTGGACACGGATTCGCTGGTGAGTGTTTTTGCCTACCAGTCTGATTCTTTGGGCTGTCCTGTTATCCCCCATCTGGGACATGAGAGCCAGGTCTCTCAGTCACGTCTGTGTGATCGTCCCTCTGAAATCCAGTGCTGGTCGGGACACGCTCCTCGGGAACCAAGTTACCTCAGCTCACCATGTATCTAGGGACACCTGGTATAGGTGAGGTGCACATCTCTCTACTCTAGGGGAGAAGCGGAGATGCCTTCTTCTTCCTCTAGTGTGTCTGTCAGACCGCTAGGCCACAACATCTCACACCGCAACGTGGGAAATGCTCAGTTGTCCGTATCTCATGCAACACCCCTAGGATGTCTCCTAAAAATCTCCAGACCCAAGGATCGCTCAGGACTTACATCCCAAGCAATTCATTTTTTACTACAACACTGCGTGGCCTCAGTACAAATTAGACAGTGGGGCACAATGGCCTGAGGACAGCACTTTCCACATTCTCACTGACCTAGACAATTTCTGTCAAAGGCAAGGAAAATGGTCTGAGGTTCCTTACATCCAGGCCCCTTTGCACCCAGACCACACCCCTCTTTATGCGACTCTTGCTCCCCCTCCCAAATCTTCCTGCTGCGCTCTAATCCTCCCAAACTCCCTCTGAAGACAGCGCACTAACTGCTCCTGTTTCCTCCTTTGACACAGCCAACCTCGCCCCATCATCTCCTCCCTCAGCCCCTCCAGCAGGGCCTCCTCCTCTAGCCCCTTCTGTGGGCCCCACCCTACCCTGAACCTCCTCCTCCAGCTCTGACTCTTCTACAGCCACAAACGACTCTCTCACACACAGGATCGGAACCATCTCTGGTCCCTATCCATCCCCTACCTCAGCCCTCATTTTAGAATGCCCCTGAGGGAAGCAGCAGGAGCTGAAGGGATTGTCAGAGTTCATGCCCCCTTCTCTCTCTCAGATTTGTCCCAAATAAATAAAAGACTAGGATTCTTTACTGAGGATCCCGCCAATTATACGCAGGAATTCGAGTACCTTACCCAGTCCTGTGATCTAACTTGAAATGAGTCATGTTATTCTCTCTTCCACCCTTAATCTGGAAGGTAAAAATCGAGTCTGGGTTAAAGCCCAGGGCCATGCCGATAATCTGAGCCGACAGGTCCCCAGGTGAATTATCAGGACAATGGGGCAGGTAGGAAAGCCAGGGACCATATGTCTCATTGTGGGACTTAGATAAGACTTACACAAGGTGGTTAACTATGAAAAACTGTCTGACATAATCCAGGAGAGGGATGAAAACCCTGCAGCCATTCTATCCTCCTTACACAGGCCATGAGAAGATGCACTAACTGAGATCCCACCAGCCCAGAAGGGA